CCACTAGGGAAGTAAGTTCTACAACCCAGAGATACCTGTTGGGTGAAATGCCCTTTCCACTGTACAAAAATCACAACTGTAGTGACAGATCCTGAAACAATCTTAACAATTACTAAAGGGAAACCCCCATGTGTCAGACTTGATAGACAGATAGGTTTACTGAAAAATGAATAGAGTGACCAAAGGATGTTACCATCGTGTTTATAGACTTTGCAGCCAATTTTGACTCACTGCATCAACCAGCACTGTGGATACTACTTCGCCAGTGTGGGGTGCCTGAGGGCTTAGTGCGCCACACGGAGGAACAATACCATGGTACATTGACCTGTGTGAGGGTCAATTACAGACTGATTTTCAGTAGAATCAGGGGTGCGTCAGGTATGCAATCTCTCACCCTTTGGTATTTAATGGTATAATAGACTATCCAATGACTGAGGCCCAAGGAGGAGATGTACTATTTAAAGTTTCATCTTTAGTGGATCTTGAATATGAGAATGATATTGCCTGAGTTGGAAAGACTACTGACCAAAGCTGAGAAAAATTGCTTACTCTATGATGATAAAACCAAAGCCTATAAAATGGAAATGAATGACCTGGTGATGCACATGTAGATAGCAATGACCTTGAATGGGTGAATAGTTTTATCTCTCTGGGTAGCTGGTTGGCAGCAGGAGTTTCTCTATGCAAAGAAGTCACACATCTGATCAGTCTTGTGTCACTGGCATTTCAGCATCTTCAAAGGTCTCTGCTTGGCTGGCAGAATGTCTATGTGACCACTAAGAGATGAGTGTCTTAGTGTCACCATGGCTGCATTAGCGTGATGTGTATCTCCTGCTGCTGATGTGCTGCTGAGTTATACAATATGAACAGCTTCAACAGGAGAGTCTGAGAAAGCCTTGTCCTAAATTACTTTATGGCCCAGAGATTAAAACGACTTTCCTGAGAGGTGAGGTGCGGTGGGGCGGGGGGGGGGGGGCTAACTTCAAATCTCTTCTTCACAGCAGGCAGAGGTGGGAAGTGAATGAGTTTCTCCCACCTCTGAGTACCCCAACAAATAGGCTAAAGGTATTGGGGATGGGTGCTACGCGTCCATATGCTGGATTGTAATTTGGACTCTTCCCTCCCACCTCCCTGTTAATGAAAATATTTGGCAAATAGTTGTCAATTTTGCAAATAGAACAGGGTCAACCAATACTGCTTTTTGATGGGTGCAAGAAAACAATGTTTCATCCCCTACTTTTCCCCACTATCTCATGCAGTCTATCTGCCCCATTTACATTGTGGCTAGCATCTTCAAAGTACCATATGGGAGAGAAAATAATTTGCTATTTGGTTGTCTAGCTCCTTAGGTGCTTTGAAAATCTGACCCTGTCACTAAAATTGTATACCTAAATCCATTAGGCTCCTTTGGTAATCCAAGCCTCAATTTTCTCATTCTTATGCATGGTAAATCGCTGCTTAAGGACTGACCCAGCATGGTATTACCGGTAGCTTATTACAGAAAGTGAACTTTGGGGATCTTGTCCGAGGTGGAACAGGACACCATTTAAACAGCTTTCAAGAATCGCTTCTTAGTCTTGGAGTCGGATGAGGAAAAGCCCTTTGCTCCACTCCCAGTGCTAACCGTACCTCCCTTGTCAGATGTAAGTGTTTGGGGTAAAGAAGGGTTGATATCCTGAGGTGCTGTATCGTGGAGGCAGATAGAGAGACTAGGCAGACAAATCAATAAGTAGGGAGATAGACTGAGACAACAGAAAGAGAAAAGCACAGATCAGAATGATCTCACCATGTTTATGATCCACATTAAAAAGGCAGGTGAGTCGATTCATATTTTACTCCTTTTTAAACTTATTTTATCCTTTCCATTCCAAAGAACCAGATTCTGTCCCTCCTTATCTAGGGGTGAGTCTCTCTACCAAGTCTCATTGACTTCTGCCTGTTCACACAGCAACAAGGTAGGTGAGGTGATATCTTTTATTGGGCCAACTTCTGTTGGCGAGAGAGACAAGTTTTTGAGCCACATAGAGTTCTTCTCTCTCACCCACAGAAGTTGGTCCAATAAAAGATATCATCTCACCTGCCTTATCTTTCGAATATCCTGGGACCGAGACAGCTACAGCTACACCGCATGCGCACACAGAGTAAGTTACAGCACAGGGGCGATGGTTGGGAACCCAGCTGCTACTTGAATCACCCATCTCTCTCTCTCTCTCTCTCTCTCTCTCTCTCTCCGCAGCACTGTGAGAGTTCATTTGGTACTTGTTAGCTGTAATTTTTATTTTGGAGAGTGTGGTGTGTGTGTGTTTTATGGGCCTGGGTAGGAGAAGACACTTAGTTCTAATAAGAATGTAAGAATGGCCATACTTGTTCAGACCAATAGTCCACCTGGTTCAGTATCCTGTCTTCCAATAGTGGTCCATGACAGATGCTTCAGAAGGAGTCAACAGAACTTTGCAATTTTTTGAGTGATCCATCCCCTGTTGTATAGCCCCAGCTTCTAGCAGTCAGCAGCTTAGGGACACCCAGAGCATGGGGTTATGTCCCTGACAATCTTGGCTAATAGCCATTGAAGGACCTAGTCTCCATGAAATTATCTAATTGTTTTTTGAACTCAGTTATACTCTTTGCCTTCCCAACATCCCCTGGTAATGAGTACCACAAGTTGATTGTGTATTATGTGAAAAAGAATTTCCTTATGTTTGTTTAAAACCTGCTGCCTATTAATTTCATTGGGTCACCCCTGGTTTGTATGATATGTGAAGGGGTAAAGAACTTTTCCTTATTTACTTTTTCCACATCATTCATGATTTTGTAGATCTCTATCATGTCCCCCCAGTCACCTTTTTCCAAGTCAACAGTCATTTTAATCTCTCCTCATATGGAAGCTGTTCCATACCCATGATCATTTTTGTTGCCCTTCAATTTCAATATATCTTTTTGGAGGTGGACCAACTACAACTGCACACAGTATTCAAGGTGTGGACATACCATGCATTTATATAGTGGCATTCTGATATTTTCAGTCTTATTATCTATCCCTTTCTTAATGGTCCCCAACATTCAGTTAGTTTTTTTAATTTCCACTGCACATTGAGCAGATGTTTTTTTAGAGAACTATCCACAATGACTCCAAGATCTCGCTTCTTAAGGGATAACAGCTAATTTAGACCTCTTCATTTTTTTTTTATGGACAGGATCATGTTTTCCAATATTCATTATATTGCATTTATCAACACTGAATTTCACCAGCCATTTGTCACCCAGTTACCCATTTTTGTGAGATCTGCTTGTAACTCTTCTCAGTTTGTTTGGGCGTAACTATCTTGAGAAATTTTGTATCGTATGCAAACATTTTGTTTAGTCTGCAGAAGAGAAGAATGAGGGGGGATTTGATAGCTGCTTTCAACTACCTGAAAGGGGGTCCAAAGAGGATGGAGCTAGACTGTTCTCAGTGGTACCTGATGACAGAACAAGGAGTAATGGTCTCAGGTTGCAGTTGGGGAGGTTTAGGTTGGATATTAGGAAAAACTTTTTCACTAGGAGGGTGGTGAAGCATTGGAATGGGTTACCTAGGGATGTGGTGGAATCTCTTTCCTTAGAGGTTTTTAAAGTCAGGGTTGACAAAGCCCTGGCTGGGAGGATTTAGTTTGGAATTGTTCCTGCTTTGAGCAAGGGGGTTGGACTAGATGACCTCCTGAGGTCCCTTCCAACCCTGATATTCTATGATTCTATGATTCTATGATTTTGTATGGTTTAACATTTTTTCCAGATCATTTATGTCTATGTTGAAGAGCAGTGGTCCCTGTAAAGATCTTTGCCAGGGGCCAGCTATTTACTTCTCTCTACTGTGAAATTTCCCTTCACACAGAATCTGCCTGTGTTTACATTCAGGTTCTAGTACAAAGTCAATATCTGTGCTTAGGTATTTGTCTCGTGAGTTGATAATGAAGGAATGGTGATTTTCTCTCTAAGGTCATATGGGGAGAAAAATAGATGGGACATTGGAGAGAGCATTGCTTCATTCCCATTTCCATTGAAAACGAATGTCAAAATAACCACTGACGTCCGTGGGGGCAGGATAGATTCTCTTCTATAAGTAAAGCCTGATATTCAGACATGCAGAACAATGAGTCAAAAGTCCCATTGAGTCGGAGTTTAAATGACTTAGGAACAACAGACCATTAATTTTTTATCAGGCCCCTCTTTTCAAATTTATGTCACGGTGCTGAGAGAATGTTTGCTGGCCCCATTCATTTCTTCTTCTTGAAAAAGCTGATGATTTTAATAGATATGACTCCAATCATACACTACAGATATTAAATAGTGTTTTCAACAACATTGTCTAGAACAACTGATAAAATGTAATAAAGAAAGAGATTATTTTTATAGATTTGGCCAGATGCCCAGCTATTGCAAATTGGCCATAGCTCCATCTTCCAGACCCCATGCTGGCCTAACTCAGCTGTAGCTCTGTTAAAGTCATATGGCCAGATTGAAGAGAGTGTGTGGGAATGCCTTCAGAGCTTGTGGTTAGAACCCTCACCCCAGATGCAGAAGTCCAAGGATCCAGTAACCCTGCTGCACTGTCTCTTTTACTATGTATCCACAGTGAAACGGGATCAAGAAGAGAGGCTGAGGGAGCCCCAAAGCAGACTGTCCCTTATTCACAGCTGAGCAGGGTATTTGTGAATACCAGTGGGACCTGATGCTCGGATTTAGGCATCAAAAAGGGCAGTTAGATGCCCAAGTCCTTTTGTGTATCCAGCCTATTTTGTCAATTTAAAAAACACAAATTCCATCCAGCGTCTCTCTCTCTCTCTCTCTCTCTCTCACACACAATTTACTCTGTTTAAAACACACCGTTTACAGGCAGGAATAGGGCTCTCTTTACATGCATGCTACTTGTCTGAGGATCTGCACATGCTGTTTCAATTTACTTTTATGAGAAGTGTTAATTTAATTTTTTTTCTGGTCTTCCAGATCAAAGATTTCCTAAATAAATGCCAATGGAAAATCAAACCAAAGTGACTGAATTTATTCTGCTGGGACTTTCCAGTGATCCACAGGTGCAGATTTTCCTCTTCCTGGTGTTTTTAGTTATTTACGTGGTTACTCTGGTTGGGAACATACTGATCATGCTGGTGATAAGAGCTGATTCTCACCTTCACACCCCCATGTACCTCTTCCTTTTCCATTTATCCTTTGTTGATATCTGCTATTCCTCCATCACAGTGCCTACAATGCTGATGAACTTCCTAACAGAGCACAAAATTATTTCAGTCAATGGCTGCATTACCCAGATGTTCTTCTTTATCCTCTTAGCCGGTACAGAAGTTTTCATTCTTTCAGCAATGGCTTATGATCGCTACGCTGCCATCTGTGACCCATTGCATTACATGGAGATGATGAGCAAAGGGATCTGTGTTCAGCTGGTGAGTGGGGCATGGACCGTCGGGTTTTTATATGCCCTGCTTAACATGGTTTTCACCTTCAAGTTTCATTTCTGTGGGCCCAATCAAATCCACCATTTCAGCTGTGAGCTCCCTCCCCTATTACAACTGTCCTGCACTGATACCTTCACCAACCAAGTGGTGCTTCTCACTTCCGCTGTGATACTTGGAGCGATCTCCTTCCTCCTCACCCTTATCTCCTACATTCACATCATCTCCACCATCCTGAGGATACCCTCTGTGCAGGGGAAGCAAAAAACCTTCTCCACCTGCAGCTCCCACTTGATTGTGGTTGGTTTGTTGTACCTGGCAGCTTTCATCCAGTACTCAAAGCCCAGCTCAGTCTCCTCTGTGGCTCTGGATGAAATGGTCTCCATCCAGTACAGCATCTTGACTCCCATGCTAAATCCCATCATCTATAGCCTGAAAAACAAAGAGGTGAAAACAGCCCTAAGGAATATATTGTGGAAATTCAAGTTTCTCAAGTAGTGTTGAACATAGAACTGTGGATAAGTAGTGTTGTGATAAATGAAGGGGGGGGGAGTTGTAGCTCCCTTTTATGGACCCCCAGCCAACCAGTAGCTAAAAAATCCCTCTATCTGTTCTCTAGTTACCTGTAAAGGGTTAAATAATCTCAATGCTATGCATAGGTAAAAGGAAGTGAGTGGAAAAGAGCCAGTGGGTAGGCTAGAACTTTTTAAAATTGAAAAACGACTCCCCTTTTGTCTGTCTGTTGTAATTCTCCTGGGAAGAAGCAGACAGGGCAGATCTATGCTGTGAAAAACTTGGGCCAGGTATGAAAAAATCATCAGTATCATACCTAGAAACTATTCATTTAAACCTCAGATATGTAAGTAGATTAGTAAATGTCTAGGAAGACACAATTAGGTTTATCCCTTTTATTTCTTGATGGCTTGTGGATTCCTCTGTGCTAACCACAGTGCTTTTGGTTTGCTTGTAACCTTTAAGTTGGACCTCAGGAAAGCTATTCTTGGTGCTTAATCCTTGTAGTTGCTCTTTTAAAATCAAGCAATAGCTGAATTCCCAGATATATTTTCTTTCCTTTTTTAAAATAAAATTTACCTTTTTAAAGAACAGAATTGAATTTTTGTGTCTTAAGAGGTTTGTCCACATGTTTAATTAGCTGTTGGCAACAGCTGATTTCCTTTTTTTCTTTTTTTCTTTCTCAGCTTTTCCCTGGATAGGTGTGTGTGAAAGGGCTTGAGGGTACCCCACAGGAAGGAATTCCCAAGTGCACCTTCCTGGGCTCTCAAAGCGGTTCTGCACTTGGGTGGTGGCAGCATCTACCAATCAAAGGACAGAGAAAAGCTGTAATCTTGGGAGTTTAATACGAGCCTGGAGTGGCCAGTATACATTTTTTGAATCCTTGCAGGCCCCCACCTTCTGCAGTCGAAGTGCCAGAGTGAGGAATTAGCCTTGATATGGTGGCAGAGCAGTGGGATCATTTTGAACCAGAGGCACAGACCTCAGGATTTTAAAGGGACAAGATTTTCCTTTTGGCAGCCTGCAAACCCAGGGTTTTTTCTCTTTCTTTTCTTTTCTTTTCTTTGCTGCCTGAGGGGGAACAGGCACACAAAGGGTTAAGCCTGCAAGGCCAGGGAGTCCAACAAGCCATTTTTTTCTAGCTTCATGGCAATGAAATAGCTAGGCTACAGTAGGGCAGCCCAGTGCATGAGGTTGCAGTCGGGCACCAAAACCCTTGAGCAACCAGTCTTCCTAAAGCGGCACACCACAGAGAAGACAGACTCAGAACAAGCCCAGAGATCCAGCTCCATGACAGAAATGAAGGGAGGAGATGGGGAACCGGAGGTTTCCCTGCAGGGAATGGTCAGCCCTCTCCAACCCGAGATCCAGGTGCCAAGATGGAGGGATGCCCTTAACCCAGACGGAGTTCTAACTGCGGAAGACAGGAATTTCTTCCTAGAGATGAAGCGCTTGGAGGAGGAGGAGAGGAGAGAGATGCAGTGCTGGGAGGTGGAAGCAGAGGCGAAGTGCTTGGAATCGGAAGCAGAGGCAAAGCTCTTGGAAGCGGAGACAGAGCTGAAGTGCTTAGAACTGGAAAGGCTAAGCTGGGTCAACCAGGTAGCTATAACAGTCCTCCTCCAGGTGTCCATTCCAAGAAATTCCCCACATACAAGGTAGGCAATGATACAGAGGCCTTCTTAGAAAAATTTAAAAGAGCCTGCCTTGGGTACAACCTCCTTACAGACCAGTATATGGTGGAGCTGAGGCCACAACTTAGTGGACCTTTAGCAGAGGTAGCAGCTAAAATGCCTAAAGAACACACAAACAAGTATGAACTTTTTAAACAAAAGGCCAGCATTAGGATGGGGCTAATACTTGAGCATACCCATTGGCTGTTCAGAGCCCTAAGGTGGAAACCAGATGTTGCATTTTACCGACACACCTACCAGATTGTAAAAAATTGGGATGCCTGGATATCAGGAGCAAATGTTTAGTCTCTGGAAGATCTATCTCTCCTAATACAAATGGAGCAGTTCTTAGAGGGTTTCTGAGGAAATAGAAAGATACATCCTAGATGGGAAGCCCAAAACTGTAATCAAGGCAGGGGAGATCGGAGCCAAATGGGTGGAGGTGGCAGATAAGAAGAAAGCTGGTAGCAGTTGGTGCGGATACCAAAAGGGGCAACCCGAGATGACACTCCACCATCGGAGTCAGCCCAAGGCCCCACCTCACAAGGAGGAGCCTTCATACAGCCAGAGAAACCCCAGATGCTCTCTCATCCCACCACCCTACTCTCCAACCACCCACCTCGACCCAGCCCAGTCAGCTGGGCGATGCTTCAAATGTAACGAGCTGTGGCATATAAAGGCCAACTTCCCCAAAAGCAGCAGCCGACTCAACTAATCACCCTGGGTTCCCACTGAGAGCCTTCAGGTGCAGATGCCCCGCAAATACCCCCAGAGCGAAGGGAAACTATAAGTGTGGGTGGGAGGAAGATTACTGTGTGGAGAGACACTGAAGCACAGGTGTCAGCTATCCACCAATCCCTGGTGGACACCAAATTAATCAACCCGGAGGCTCAGGTGACAATGCAACCCTTTAAGGCCAACTCTTTTAACTTGAACCTCAGCCTGAGGAGGGAAGTTTTGAAGGGAAGTTTCTTATCCTGAGGAGACTGATCTGTAGAATTTTATTTTCAGTATTTGAAAATATTCATAGGTTTTAAAAAAAATAAATAAATATCTGTGATCCCAATCTTCAGCAGTTGGAAAACATTCAGTGAGTTGAACTGTTTTTCATAAGCCAGGCACCTGGCACATTGTCTCTAATGGATTTATGAAGCTTTACATCTGCTGGGGTTCTGACCTATTGACTCCAATGCAGCTACATTGATTTAAACCAAGTGGGCTTTATTGGCTCAGTGGAGCTATGGTACTTTGAACACGTTGGCCCCAGAGATTTCAGTGGAGGTTGAAGCTGTTGGTCTTTAATTTATTCTTGTACATAGATTTTCAGGAGTGTGCGGTGTGTAATCTCTTCGATGGGACACACATTTCACATGGAGAATACATCTACCCTCTGATGTACTGGGGTCTGGTTTCTATTTGAAATGATCATTCAAAGACACATGATGCCTTTAGTTTCCTCCGTGAGGACAGGATTCTGCTCATCAGTCTCCTGATGGCTTTTCTCATCTCGGTGTTTCTCAGCGTGTAGATTGTGGGGTTCAGCATCTGGGTGATTAGAGTGAAAAAGACGCAGACCACTTTGTCCAGGGTGAACTTCTTGAAGGGTTGAGCATAGATGAAGATGCTGGGTATGAATAGTAAACACAACACAATAATCTGGGTTCCACAGTTGGACAGAGCCTTGCACTTCCCTTCCATGACATGTGTCCTGATCTTGACTAAGATGACAGTGTAGGAAATTAGCAGACAAATGAATAGTCTGATGAGGAGCACTCCACCATTGAAGACAATCTGCAGTTCGACTACATGGGTGTCAGCACAGGCCAGTTTGATGACCTGTGGGCAGAGCCGTAACTAGGTATTTTTGCGCCCGAGGCAAGAATATAAAATTGCGCCCTCCCCCAGGGCCGGCTCTTCGGCGGCAATTCAGCGGTGGGTCCCTCAGTCCCTCTCGGAGGGAAGGGCCAGCCGCCGAATTGCCGCCAAAGAATGAATGAAGGGGCGGTGGTAGAGCCTGTGATTTTGGGGGGTCAACTCATGATTTTTGACTGCTTGGGCTGGTAATGTTGCTTCCAAGATGGTCTTTGGTTCCAGTCCAGTTCCAATCCAGAGATGGACTTCCAGGTTAAGAGAGGAGGGAGGTGCTGGATATCAGCAGTGGCCACTAGGGATCAGCATGTGTCCTGAGAATGCTGGGAATTCAGGTTTTCGGGGCAGGATCAGGGGTGGCAGGTATGTAGAAATTTTGGTGGTGCCCAGAACCTGCCCCCACCCAAATTCTACCCCCCCCCCACCCGCCCAAGGCTCTGGGAGGGAGTTTGGGTGAGGGAGGAGGTCTGGGGTGCAGGCCCTAGGTTGGGGCAGGGGATTGGGATGCAGGCTCTGGGAGGGAGTTTGGGGATGGGAGGGGTGCAGAGGGATGGGATGCAGGGGTGAGGGCTGTGGGTTGTGGCTGCAGATGAGGGATTTGGAGTGGGGAGGGCTCAAGGCAAGAGTCGGGGTGAGGGCTCTGTCTGAGGCTGGGAATGGGAGGTTTGGGGTGTGGGAGGGGCTCAGGGCTGGGGCAGAGGGTTGGGGTGGGGGCTGAGGGCTCTGGCTGGGACTGGGGATGAGGTGTTTGGGGTGCTGGAGGGGCTCAAAGCTCGGGCAGAGGGTCAGGGTGCGGTGGGGATGAGGGCTCTGGTTGGGACTGGGGATACTGTGTTTGGGGTGCTGGAGGGGCTCAGGGCTTGGGCAGAGGGTGCAGTGAGGGGGTGAAAGCTCTTGCTGGGGGTGTGGGCTCTGGGGTGGGGCAGGGCTGGGGATGAGTTTGGGGTGCAGGCAGGCTGCTCCAGGCCAAGGGCCAGAGAGGAGGACTCCCCCCAGCCCTTTCCCTGCCAGCAGCAGCAAGCCCCCCTTTCTTGCCCCCCCAGCAGCACACTCACCACCACCACTGTCACTGCATGTGCTCCTAGGGCCCCTCTCAGGTCCAGGAATCTCCCTCACCTCCCCCGTGGTGGATGCCGGGGGGCGCTGCATGCACCTCCTCCCCTGCTGTTGCCCCTGACTGTATCCTCACTGGGGGTGAGGGATGGGGCTGCCTCCTTGCCCACCATGGGGCAGGAGTGGTGACTGCGGGCGGAGGGCCCCCTGTGCTGCTGGAGGGTCCCATTGAAAAATGAAAGGGTCAGAGGGGGAAGGGCAGGCTCAGAGTCAGTCTGCCCTGGCAGTGAGTTGGGGGGCACTAGGACCCTGTGGCAGCAGTTGCTGCAGGGAGGCAGCATGGAGCTGCTCTGCTTGGGGTCCGGGAAGGTGAGGGGGAAGCAAGTCAGGGCC